TGTACATGAGTTTTTTCTTGCTTTGATGCTTGAGAGTTGAATGGCGAATTCATTCATTCATTTACTCAACAGGAACTGCTCACCTGCTCTGTGCAGTGCAGTCAATTTTTTTTTAATTAATTACTTTTTTTTTTTTTTTTTTTTTTTTGAGATGGAGTCTTGCTATGTTGCCCAGGCTGGAGTGCAGTGGCGCGATCTCAGCTCACTGCAACCTCTGCCTCCCAGGTTCAAACAATTCTCCTGTCTCAGCTTCCCAAGTAGCTGGAATTACAGGCACGTGTCACCATGCCTGGCTTATTTTTATATTTTTAGTAGAGATGGGGTTTCACCATGTTGGCCAGGCTGGTCTCAAACTCCTGATCTCAAGTGATCCGCCTGCCTCGGCCTCCCAAAGTGCTGGGATTACAGGCGTAAGCCACCAGGCACGGCCTCAGTGCAGTCAATTAAGCACTAGGAATAAAAAAAGAAAAAAAAAAGATGTGTGGCCTGTCCTCACAGAGCTTATGATTCAGTAGGGAAGATAGACATGGCAGACCCGTGTTATAGTCTCAGGTGCTATGACAGAGAAGCACACGGAAAACTGGAGTAAAGCCCTCCCTAAACTTAAGAGGGTGAGACTGGGCAAAGTGGTCCATGTCTATAATCCTAGCGCTTTGGAAGGCCGAGATAGGAGGATCACTTGAGCCCAAGAGACTGAGACTAGCTTGGGCAACACAGTGAGACCTCATCTCTCCAAAAAGTTTTAAAAATATATTAGCCAGGTGTGGTGGTGCATGGCTTTAGTTCCAACTACTCAGGAGGCTGAGGCATGAGGCAGGAGGATCTCTTGAGCCCAGGAGTTTGAGACTAGCCCGGGCAACAGAGTGAGACCCCGTCTCTACAAAAAGTTTTAAAAGTATATTAGCCAGTGTGGTGGCATATGGCTGTAGTCCCAACTACTCAAGAGGCTGAGGCAGAAGGATTCCTTGAGCCCAGGAGTCTGAGGCTGGAGAGAGATCATGCCACTATACTCCAGCCTGGGTGACAGAGAAAGACTCTGTCTCTGTCTCTAAAATTTAAAAAAATATATAATTTTTTTAAAAGACAGTGAGAATGCTCAGAAAGGCTTCCTGGAGGCATCATGAAGGATAAATGGTGGTTAACTGACTGGAGAAGACAGTAATAGTGCTTAAAAGTCTGTGTTTCGGCCGGGTGCGGTGGCTCACGCCTGTAATCCCAGCACTTTGGGAGGCCGAGACGGGCGGATCACGAGGTCAGGAGATAGAGACCATCCTGGCTAACACAATGAAACCCCGTCTCTACTAAAAAATACAAAAAAACTAGCCGGGCGAGGTGGCGGGTGCCTGTAGTCCCAGCTACTCGGGAGGCTGAGGCAGGAGAATGGCATAAACCCGGGAGGCAGAGCTTGCAGTGAGCCGAGATCCGGCCACTGCACTCCAGCCTGGGCGACAGAGTGAGACTCTGTCTAAAAAAAAAAAAAAAAAGGCTCTGTGTTTCAAATAATAAACGACCCAACGCAAACTGGCTTAAGTGCAAAAGAGAATATTGGTTCTTGTACCTGAAAGGTCCAGGGAATTTTGGCTTCAGTCATAGCTAGACCCAGGATCTAGTAGAGTATCATCAGGGATCTGCCACTGTTTGTCTACCCAACAGCGTCTCCCTTCTTCCTTGTTAATAGAGCCCCAAATTTGTTCATTCTCAGTGGAATTGCTTTGTCTTTCAGGAGTGGCTGGGTTTAACTCATTACATCTGCGACAAATTGTGTTTCCAATACAGTCATGTTCTGAGGTCTTGGGAGTTATACTTCAATATACTAATTTTGGGGTGATACAATTCAACCCTAAACACTCAGCCTTTCCCTTCTCCATTTCTCTCATCTCCTGCTGGTATCTCCCATTGATTGGACCGATCTGGAGGGTATGTTACAGGAAAGGGGTCCTGATCCAGACCCCAAGAGAGTTCTTGGATCTTGTGCAAGAAAAAATTCAGGGCGAGTCCATAAAGTGAAAGCAAGTTTATTAGGAAAGTATAGAAATAAAAGAATGGCTACTCCGTAGATAGAGCAGCCCCTAGGTCTGCTAGTTGCCCATTTTTATGGTTATTTCTTGAGTATATGCTAAGCAAGGGGTGGATTATTCATGCCTCCCCTGTTTAGATGATATAGGGTAACTTCCTGACATTGCCATGGCATTTGTAAACTGTCATGGCCCTGGTGGGAGTGTAGCAGTGAGGATGCCAAGAGGTCACTCTTGTCGCCATGTTGGTTTTGGTGGGTTTTGACCGGGTTCTTTACTGCAACTGTTTCATCAGCAAGGTCTTTATGACCTGTATCTTGTGCCGGCCTCCTATCTCATCCTGTGACTTGGAATGCCTAAACCGTCTGGAAATGCAGCCCAGTAGGTCTCAGCCTCATTTTACCCAGCTCCTATTCAAGATGGAGTTGCTCTGGTTCACGTGCCTCTGACATTTCCAATAAGGTCACATTCCGAAGGGGTTATACTTCACCATATGAATTTTGGGGTGATACAATTCAACCCCTAATACTCTGTCTTTCCTTCCTCCATCTCTCTGATCTCCTACTGGTACCTCCCATAGGATGGACCCATCTGGAAGGTATGGGAGCCTGGTTGATCTGAACCATGAAAAGCAGCTTCCTGAGGCACAGAGCAGGGTAGGGAGGGTGGATCTGGAGATGCAAAGAGGATATCCAGGACACTTTGTAGCATCTTTCTTCTTGGGAAGGATCTCTCCACATGGCAACCAACACCTCTAGACTGACTTGGTTCTTAGCTCCTGCTATTTTTAAAAGAAGACACAAGAGATTTTATCACCCGATTTCCATAACAATTCTCTAAAAGAAGTTGACTGGTATTCTTTGGGTTCCAAGAAGAAACTTGAAATGGAAATAGAAGACAGGATATCTGGTGCTCCACCCCATTGCAGGCTCAGCTTATCTTCTCCCCTTTACTCTGGGATGTCTTTTCCCTTGTGGCTTACTAGGTATCTATCCCTTAGGGGCTGCATTCAGCTGCCTGTATTGAACATTCAAGAACAGTGGCAATAAAACGAATGAAGTTTATTTCTCCTTACACATTTAGATGTCCAGAGTAGGGCAGGCCCAAGCTGGTGCTGTGGCTTAAGGAAGGCGCAGGCTCTTTCTATCCCCTGCTTCACCATCCTTAGCACGTGGCTTTGGGCCTCATGGCTAAAAGGGGCTGCTCCACTTCCAGCCCCACATCTGTGTTCCAGCCTGAAGAAGTGATATGAAACTTCAAGGAGGAAGGGGCAGCAGAAATTAGGAAAGCAGAATTTTCTCAGAGATCCCTAGAATATGTCTGTTTCTATCTCATTGGGCAGAACTGTATGACATAGCTGTCCCTTGCTACATGGGAGCATGGGAAATGTAGATCTTTGGCTGAGCTGATTGCCATTTGGAAGCAATCACGTTTCTGTTAATAAGGCTGAAGTGGAGAGTGGACCTTGGGTGGAGAGCTAGCAGGATCAGCCACACCGCTGGTGGCACCTGTGTGCGGGGTGTCTCATGAAGGTGGCACTCAGACCCAAAGGACTGCTGTTCAGAGGACTTGAGTGAATCTGGGGTAAAGCAATATATACAATTACTCATAAAAGAGAAGCACAGTCTAAATTTAAATAACAAAATCCTCCAATTCCAAAAGTATGTAATAAACCCCGATATGAGCACTGTCTTTTATTAGTACCTAATGTCAGAAAATGCGCTTATTGAAAGAGGACTAAAGAAATGTCTTTAGAATTCTTTGCCCAAGTTACTGTTTCTTGATGTTCTTATAAATCTCATAAAGGATTCATGCATATTTCATCTAACACAAGCAATCAATTAACCTCCTTTCCTTTTTCCTACTCAGACATGTGGGCAAAGTAAGAATATACAGTTGACTCCTAAACAATACAGATGCCAAACCCCCGCGCAGTCAAAAATGCACTTACAACTTTGGCCGGGCACAGGGGCTCACACCTGTAATCCCAGCACTTTGGGAGGCCAAGGCAGGGCAGACTGCTTGAGCTCAGGAGTTCGAGACCAGCCTGGGCAACCTGATGAAACCCCATCTCTACAAAAAATACAAAAATTAGCCAGGTGTGGTGGTGTGTGCCTGTAGTCCCAGGTACTGAGGAGGCTGAGGTGGGAGGGTCACTTGAGCTTGGGAGGCAGAAGTTGCAGTGAGCTGAGATCTGCACTCCAGCCTGGGTGACAGAATGAGGCCCTGTCACAAAAAGAAAGAAAGAAAATCCACATAAAACTTTTGACTCCCTCAAAGCTTAACTACTAATAGCCTACTGTTGACTGGAAGCCTTACCAGTAGCACAAATTTTGTATGTTATATGTATTATATACTGTATTCTTATAAGTAAGGTAGCAAAATAAAATTTATTAAGAAAATTATAAAAAAGAGAAAATATATTTACCAGTCATTAAGTGGAAGTGGATCGTCATAAAGGTCTTCTTCCTCATCTTCTGGTTTAGTAGGCTGAGAAGGAGGAAGAGGAAGGATTGGTCCTGCTGTCTCAGGGGTGGCTGAAGTGGAAGGGGAGGCAGGAGAGGCAGGCACACTTGGTGTTAAGTTTTTTGTTTTTTTGACACATAGTCTCACCCTGTTACCCAGGCTGGAGTGCAGTGGCTAAGTCTCGGTTCATTGCAACCTCCACCTCCCAGGTTCAAACGATTCTCCTGCCTCAGCCTCCTGAGTAGCTGGGACTACAGGCGCCCGCCACCATGCCTGGCTAATTTTTGTATTTTTAGTAGACACAGGGTTTCACTGTGTTGGCCAGGCTGGTCTCGAACTCCTGACCTCAAGTGATCCACCCACCTCGGCCTCTCAAAGTCCTGGGATTACAGGCATCAGCCACCACACCCAGCCGGTGTTAAGCTTTATTGAAAACAGTCATGTATAAGTAGACCTATGCAGTTCAAATCCATGTTGTTTAAGGGTCAGCTGTAATTTAATTATCTCTTCTCTCTTTAGAGGAAAAGAACCAAATTCATTGCCTGTGATTTTCTGACCGAGTGGTTATACAAGTAAGTTGTTCATGTCTGACGATTCAGTAATCCTAAGAATTCAGTCGTGTTAATTTGCAAGCAGAATAGCAACAACTGACTTGAATTCTTGCTTATTGTTTTCCTGTCAATCAAACATATGGCATCGTGACCAGCCAAAATCCAAAGAGGGCAGGGGAGCCATTCACAGAATTTTTCTCCATTCCATTTGTGGAGGAGTGGCTAAAGCAACAGTAAGTATGATACAAGGCTTTGAATAATTTATTCCTAATTTAATATTGCGTTAATAATAGTTTTCTTCAATCTAAGAGAACAAACTGATGTGATCCATCCAGGACTCTGGGCCAGTCATATTTCTGACAATCTTGTCTCTAGTTATTCTTAGCCTAGGCTAACCTTATCCTAATCATGCCAGTAATTTCATTCAAGAAGCACTCCAGAAAACCAAAAAAAAAAAAAAAAAAAAAAAAATTCTTATCCTAAGTAATTTATCCCTCCATTCCCTTCATTTTTTTCTCTCTCTCTGACGGTCATTATGTCTCAGGAAATATGACTAAGCTTTTCTAAATACTTAGAAAATACTAAAAGAGCTTAAATAGTAAGTTACCTGCATCAATTCTCCATTTACAATATAATAAAGAACATGACAGATAAAATTAAAACTCTTTGACCATTCTAATATGGGTTTCCTCCCCACATTGAAGTAATCAGTTCAGTCTACAGTGCAACCTTCCAGACCTCTTATTTAGCTATATAAAATCAGTTTATGCTGCTCTATCTATGGAGTAGCCATTCTTTTTTTTCTTTAATTTTTTAATAAACTTCCTTTCACCGGGCGCTGTAGCTCACACCGGTAATTCCAGCACTCTGGGAGGCCGAGGCAGGTGGATCATGAGGTCAGGAGATTGAGATCATCTTGGCTCACACGGTGAAACCCCGTCTCTACTAAAAATACAAAAAAAATTAGCCAGGAGTGGTGCCGGACACCTGTAGTTTCAGCTACTTGGGAGGCTGAGGCAGGAGAATGGTGTGAACCTGGGAGGCAGAACTGGCAGTGAGCCGAGACGGTGCCATTGCACTCCAGCCTGGGTGACAGAGTGAGATTCCATCTCAAAAAAAAAAAAAAAAAAAAAAATCGGTTTATATCTGATTGGGCATGGTGACTTATGCCTGTAATCCCAACACTTTGGGAGGCCAAGGCAGGCGGATCACTTGAGATCAGGAGTTCAAGACCAGCCTGGCCCACAGGGCAAAACCCCATCTCTACTAAAAATACAAAAATTAGCTGGGCTTGGTGGCACGTGCCTGTAATCCCAGCTACTTGGGAGGCTGAGGCAGGAGAATCGCTTGAACCTGGGTGGTAGAAGTTGCAGTGAGCCAAGATAACACCACTGCACTACAGCCTAGGGGACAGAGTGAGATTCTGTCTCAAAGAAGAGTTTAGATTCTCAGTTCTCAGTTGTCACATATTTTACTTAAATCTGCCCTCTTTGAGAATGCCAAGATGAACAGACCTTTGGCTGACTTTCGCAATTTTGAGAAATTTAAAAAACCCAGATATTAACCAGTTTTTTTTTTTTAATCTAAGATTACACATTGAAAGGAGAGAAACATTGGAAAACCTTGTTTCTTATTTAACTTTTAAACCTGTGCCTGATTTTATCTGCTATGAAATGTATAGCCCAAAATTTATTGATTTACATGTATTTTTCTAAGACAAGTTTGAGTATCATTCTCCGAGTTGCTGCTTTGCCTTGAAAATAAAACATTTTTCCATTTGTAATAACCAATGAAAAATAATCTTAAAAATAAGAGAACTTCTCTAATAAGAATCCTCTTAGATTTGTTTATTATACAAATATCTTAATTTTAAATGGCACTGATGTCCACAGGATGCTCGTGTAAATACACCGTAAAGGAGCAGTAGCAGTCATTTCAGCTGCACTCCACAGGAACAGAAACACAAGAGCTCTTGCTTTAACTGGCATTTGTATTCTCTACATCCATTACCTTTCAAAGAGATGCCCAGATGCATGATAAAAATTAAAGTGATATTAATCTATTTGATGCAATGAATATCTATTGAACACCTACCCAGTTCAACTGAACCGAGTTTGGTGCTGTGGAAAAAACAGAGATGAATAAAGTATGGCCCTGGCCCTTGGGGTGAGGGAGACGTGTTTACGACTTGCTGTACTTTCTGTAGTGAGTGTTGTAATACAAATGTTAACAAAGCATTAAAGGGAAGTGGGGAAGCATGAGACCATCCACGTGCCCTTCCTGGTGGGCCTGGAGCCAGCCCAGCTGGGGCAGCGGCCAAGCTGGTTGGTGCCCAGATTTGGTCCAAGGCAGGAACTCAAATGCTGCATTCTTCTTGTCTCAAGTAGGAATAGTCAGAGAAGCAAGTAGAAACCAAAATTCTTAAGGAGAACAAGGTAGGAGCCGGGAAATATCCAATCCAGGTTGGCTCAACGTTGGCACTATTGACATTTAGGACTGGATAATTCTTTGCTGTAAGGAGCTATGACCTGTGCATTGTAGGACGTTTTGCAGCATCTCTGGCCTCCACCCACTAGATGCCAGTAGCACCCTCCTACCAGTTGTGACAATCAAGACTATCTCCAGACACTACTGTATGTCCCCAACGGGAATGAGGCAAAATTGCCTCTGGTTGAGAACCTCTGATTTAGTCCAGTAGTTTGAGAACTTTAAACCAGCACTTTGGGAGGCCGAGGTGGGCAGATTACTTGAGGTCACGAGTTCGAGACCAGCCTGGCCAATGCAGTAAAACCCCATCTCCACTAAAAATACAAAAATTAGCCAAGTATCATGGTGCATGCCTGTAATCTCAGCTACTTGGGAGGCTGAGGCAGGAGAATTGCTTGAATCCAGGAGGCAGAGGTTGCAGTGAGCCAAGATGGTGGAACGGGAAAAGTTACCTTGTCCCCCTCACAGGGCATGCAACAGGGGGATGTGGCTTGCTTCTTCAGTGCCCTGCTGCTCAAACTTCTAGGGGAGCATATAGACAGGCAGGTTGTGGGGCTCCCACCCGATGGCGGTGTCTACAGGTGAATTCATAGCTGAAGCCCCAGTGGGCATATGTTACTGGGTGCTCTCTTAGTTTGCCATCCATAGGCAGTTTGTGTTAACCAACTCAGTTCACCCTCTACCTTGTTGCAAGGACAGAGGAATTTCTGTATCCCAGGTTCTTGCCTTTGTGTACCGGAGGAATCAGATCACAGGTGGGCTTGGAGAATGAGTGCAAAGTTTTATTGAGTGGAAGTAGCTCTCAGCCCATGGAGGAGCCAGAAGGGCTCCATGGTTTTTCCCATGGAGTTGGGCTGCTCGGCGGCCACAGCTCTCCTCCAACTAACTGCCCTGGCCAAACTCAGTCTCATCCTGCCAGGTGCCTGTGCCTGTCCCTGTGCTCTTCTGCCAGCGTGCTCTTCTCAGCATCCTCTCGATGAGCAGCTGCTTGTGTCTTTTTACACTGATGTGTTTCTCTCCACGTTTGGCTGCCTGTGTGTCTACCCGCTAGGGTCTCGGGCTTTTATATGCCCAGGATGGGGGGGCGTGGCAAGCCAGGGTGGTCTTGGGAAATGCAACATTTGGGCAGGAAATACCCGTTCTCATCTAGGTCCCTGGGGGTGGAGCCCTAGCCAAGGACCACGCCCTCCTCTATGCAGCACTTCCCCTACCACCTTCTTGTATTATTTAAAGGGACCACGCTCTTCCCTTCCCAGCACTCCTGTATCAATGGTACCACTGCACTTCAGCCTGGGTGACAGAGCAAGATTCCATCTCAATAAACAAATAAATAAATAAAAATAAATAAAATCACCCAGGGAACTTTGGAAAAATATTGGTACCTAACTTCACCCAGATAGATTAAATCATAATCTTCAGGTGTAGCCTGGGGGTTGTTTTTTTGCTTTTTTTTTTTTTTAAGCTTCCTAGGTAATTCTAATATATAGCCAGGATTAAGAGCTTATCCATCCATAGGACAGAAAAAGCGCTGCATCCAGGAACTAATAAATAGTATAATGCTTCACTAAGTGCTTTGATACATGCCATCTCATTTAATCTTCACCACAACACTAGGATGTAGGTACTAAAGCTGAGAGCCCACAGCTGGGAAGTCAACCATGAAGTGAGACGGGACTTGGGCAAATAAGGTGATTATACGAGTATTATGGATGGACATTTTGAGTACGGCTTAATGATACAGATTGGAGGAAGATTACTTTTGAGGGGGAGACTCTGTCAAGGCTTTTTAAGGAAGTGAAATATAAACTACAGTAGTACTTCAGGCAGAATTAAGAGCCTGAGCTTTTGGGGTAGGTAAACCAGTATTCAAATCTCCACCACTGGCTGGGTGCAGTGGCTGACACCTGTAATCTCAGCACTTTGGGAGGCTGAGGCAGGCAGATCACCTGAAGTCAAGAGTTTGAGACTAGTCTGGCCAACATGGCAAAACCCTGTCTCTACTGAAAATACAAAAATTAGCTGGGTATGGTGGTATGTGTCTGTAATCCTAGCTACTCAGAAGCTGAGGCAGGAGAATCGCTTGAACCGGGAGGCGGAGGTTGCAGTGAGCTGAGATGGCACCACTGCACTCCAGCCTGGGTGACAGAGTGAGACTCTTTCTTAAAAAACAAAAAAATAAAAAAACAAAACAAATCACCACTTACTGATCCTATGATCTTGGGCAAGTGTTTATCTATTACTGTGTAACAAATTGCCCCAAAACTTAGTGACTTAGATATTATCCTATAATTTCTCTGGGTCAGGAATTTGGTAGCAGCTTAGCTGGGTGGTTGTGGTTCAGAGTCTCCCATGAGGTTGTAGTCAAGATGTCACAGGGGGTGCAGTCATCTGAAGGCCCAACTGGGGCTGGAGGTTCTGCTTTTAAGATGGTGCACAAATATGGTGCTGGTTGTTGTTTGGAGGCCTTAAATTTTCCCCATCTGGGGTGTTTCCATGGGCTGCTTGAGTATCCTCATGACATGGTGACTGGCCTCCTTCAGAGTGAAAGATTTGGGCACAAGAAGGAAGCATGGTACCTTTTATGACCTAGGCTTGGAAGTCACATACCTCCATTTCCATCACATTCTATTAGAAGCAGGTCACCAAATGCCACATTCGAGGTTTAATAATTAAGCTCCACCTTAGAGAGGGAGGAGTATCAAAGAATGTGTGGACATATTTATTTTAAAAGTATCACAGCATGTCT